TGTTCTTCACTTCAAGTCCAAGTTAGATTAGTTTTCTTTATTCCAAAGAGTGAGAAATTGTTTGGTCCTTCTGTATTTCTATTTTCCATAACCAATCTTGTGTTTCCATTAAAATTCCCTGCTCACTTTTGAAGTCCTTCTGCAGTTCTCTTTCCCATAACCAATCTCGTGTCTCCTTTAAAATTTCCTGATCATATTTGAAGCCCTTCTTCACTTCTCTTTTCCATAAACAATCTACTCTTTTCCATTAACAATCTTGTGTTTCCGTTAAAATTTCCATTCTCATCTCCATAACCAATCTTGCGATTTCAGTTGTTACCAAGACCCAGATTTTCCAAAGCAAAACAGGCCATGGCTGATGCAATTGTTTCTGCTCTTGTGAGTCCAATCCTGGAGAACTTGAGCTTGCAGGCTCTCAAAGAGGCTGGGCTTGCTTGGGGCCTTGACACCGAGCTTGAGAATCTCGAAAGCACCTTCGCAATTGTTCAAGCTGTGCTCCAGGATGCAGAGGAGAAGCAATGGAAGAACAAGGCTTTAGAGATTTGGTTAAGACGCCTCAAGGATGCAGCTTATGATGTTGATGATGTGCTGGATGACTTTGCAATTGAAGCTCGAAGGCATCGGCTGCAAAAAGATCTAAAAAATCGACTACAATCCTTCTTTTCTCTTGATCATAATCCACTTATTTTTCGATTGAAAATGGCGCATAAGTTGAAAAATGTGAGAGAGAAACTGGATGTCATTGCCAATGAGAACAAAAAGTTCGAGCTAACAACACGAGTTGGGGACGTAGCAGTAGATACCTACGATGGGCGGCATACAAGCAACATCCTGAATGAATCAAGCTCAGTCGTGAATGAATCAGAAATTTACGGAAGAGGCAAGGAGAAAGAGGAACTAATCAACATCCTGCTCGCTGATGCAGACGATCTCCCTATTTATGCTATATGGGGAATGGGGGGGCTCGGGAAAACAACACTTTCACAAATGGTCTACAATGAAAAAAGGGTTAAACAACATTTCAGTTTGAGGATCTGGGTGTGCGTATCTACTGATTTCGATGTAAGAAGATTAACAAGAGCCATCATAGATTCCATTGATGGTGCTTCATGTGATATTCAAGAATTGGATCCCTTGCAACAACGCCTCCAACAAAAGTTAACTGGAAAAAAGTTTTTGCTTGTATTAGATGATGTGTGGGATGATTATGATGATAGGTGGAATAAATTGAAAGAGGTATTAAGGTCCGGAGCTAAAGGTAGTGCTGTGTTAGTAACTACGCG